TATATATATATATATATATATATATATCGTGGTACACGGCGATTCATAGCCCGTATTTATGGCCCTGTTTAATTAATCTCGCTCGCGAGATTATACACATTCCACCTTTGAGACACAAACTTTCCGAGAGGCTGTAACACGGATGATATCTTTTATTTCTATTCTCCGCTTGAAACATACACACGCGCACACATACGCGCAGCAACGTGCATATCATCGTTGCCACAAATATCGTTATTAAACGTGACGAATTTCTATACATACATCTCGTACATCAGTATCATGTATGTATATTTATTTCTATATCAGAGTGGCGGTTCGTGCGGTCGAGACGATTACGAGGAACGAGTCGTCCGAAAGCAGCAGGAAAAATGGATAGAGCGCCGACCGATGAAACGGGAAGAGGACAGACGAGAGAAAGTTACCTCCTTGAATAATTAACCGAACCAACCGCCACTTTTGTGCTTTTTTTTTTTTAAGAATATAATATGTAACTATGATTATAACGTCCGCGTCCTCCTTTGACCCGCAAAGGGATAGATTAACATTTATGATTATAAACATCGTCCGCGTGAAATACACGAGAAATGCATTTAACGAGCAGAATGTTTCCCTTACGTCATAATTCATAATCTTATTCTAGAAACCTTTTTCGCGCCGACGTAACGTCTTATCTGTTCGCGACAACTTAAAATGATACACTGCTAAAAATAACTGTTTCCGTCTTATGAAAATAGTTCTATAATCGATTTCCTCGACATTTGCACTATCGATAGAAATTATATAGCGCATACATGTGCATACATACATATATCGCGTGCATAAGGGCCTAGGCACAATGAAAGGAATAAGGAACAAGAAATTAAAAATAGAGAAATTAGGAATGGAGAATTAAATTTAAAAATCCATGCATCGAGGAACCACCAACGTGTTCCTTTCCTTCGTCGATTGGAAATCATTTTCCATTTTTAATTCTTTATACTTAATTTTTTATTCCTTATTTTTGTTCATTGATTATTTGAGCCTGTGTGTTTTTGCTCGGGGTAGACAAGGACAGATATCTGGTCAGTTATCTGTCATCTCGCGATGCGCGATCAGTCGCGAAAGATGTGTAATAAATATAAGGAGGAAAGACACGGGGATGAATAAAAGCGGGAAATTAGTCCGTACAAATATCGAACTCAATGTCTACATGTTTGCGCGAATATATTGGCGAAGGCCTTTAACTTTGTAAATTGCCGTATTTAACGATGCCAACTTTCGCTTAAAAAATTTAAGTCACAAAATATTCATTGCGATTGATAAAAATTAGCAAATATCAATTTCGGTCTTTAAGAAAATATTGTTGATTATAAAAAAATTTTTCACGTCCGTAGAACAAAATTCTCAGAAATTTGAAAAAAACTTTATCCCGTTCATTCGTTCATTGTTCATCCTCGAGATGACTTAAGAATTCGAATAAGGAAACTGCAAACTGCACCTAAACGTGTTTTCCACACGATAGATATACACGCGAGTGTTGAATTACGTATGAGGAAGTACGTAAAAGAAATCGGAATAGCAATATATCCCGGAGTAAAACCCGTAATCTTCCGCCGGGATCTTCTCTTTGCACTCTCTCTCTCTCGTTTTCCGATCTTTTTCTCGCGTCCAACCGCTTCTCGATTCGAAGAGGGTAAACAAGAAGAGCCACCCCCCCCCCCCCGACAGATCTCCTCCAGATTTGCACGAGAGTTAGCTCAGCGGATATAAAATTTATTCGGACGGAAAAAAAAAAAGGAAACAAAGTAAATGTAAATAGCGGCAGTGCGACAAATAGCTCGTACTGTCGATCCCTGATGGATCTTGTTTACAAACGAAAACATACGAATCATCGTAATTGCGAGGGACGATTCCGGGCGGCGGGTGCACTACTTGACGAAGAGGTCCTTGAGGGTGGCGCAGATCGAGTCGCAGTCCTGTTGCTCCTGCTCCTGGTTGTTCCCGCTCGTGAACCAACGACTGGCGACCTTGCTGGGGCGCGATTTGTTCGGCGACACGGATGGCTTTCCGGATGTGTTGCCCGACGCTTCCGCGTCGCTTCCCCGGTGGGCCGAGGTGAGGATCTTCTCGATGGCATTACCGAGCACCTATCGGCACCGAAGTTTTACCTTTGCGCGACCTTTGCTCTTTTTTTTTTAGCAAACGACGTGATATTTACGCGACGTGAATACGCAATCGGGAATATATACTGAATATATATACAGGAATGAATAATGGAACTTGGCGCAAAATCAATAAATCCGACGATTCTCTCGACGTGGCTCGTTGATGCAGCAGAACGCGCACAGAACAGTTTTGCTGTTCCGAAGTATCGAAAAATTTGACCAGGTACAAATCCGAAAGTAATTTCGACGGCCCATCAAAATATTTACATAGATAACGTTCAACTTGGTTGTATCTTGGAATATTCAAATATTTTTGCGGTGTAATCATCCTGAATAATTATTTTGATAGCACAAAAAAATTATTTTCAAATTTGTGTATCTGGCCGATCAGCAAGCTCAGCAAAGCTCATCTTTCCGTCAAATGAAAAAAATAACATTTGCGTTTGTACGAAATCGGATTCAATAGTAAACGTGAACAAACACAACTGATTAATTTCCTTCAACTGCGAAATGCGAATATCGACGATACCTAGATCTCAATCTCACTAAACAGAGCGTAATTATTCTCACCTGAGCGTCCACCTTGGTACCGCTGCTGTCGTCCCAGAGAACCTTGTGCCTGGTATCCACGTTCTTCGCGAGGGTGTTTTTGACGGTTTTGATCACCCGCGACTTGTCCAGCTTAAACGGCATCGCGCTCTCCTCATCGTATCGGTTCTTCTTCGAGATCGGCTGATGCCTCTTGGTGAACCAGTTGCTCGGCGCTATTAGCGTGCCGATGGTGCTCTTGCCGCCGCTGCTGCTGGACGGCGTCTTGCTCTTTGTGCTGTGCAGAATGGAGACGTCAAAGCTATTGGATCGTGAGCTCTTGAGTCGGCTGCGTCTCTGCTCCGCCGACGTTTTGGCGGTCCAGCTCTGCGATTTCTGCTCGTCCTTTGTCGCGCCCGACGCTTCCGACGCGCCGCACGTGTTTATCTCCGTCGCGGACGACGTCAGGGAGCTCAAGATGGATATCAGATCCGTGTTGGAGCACGTGATGCCCGCCGCCGTCGTCGTGCCGGATATCTCGATCTCGGAGAGCGGCCTCGTCATCTCGGACGCGCGTCTACGTAGGGCCGACGTCGACGCCGCGACCGACGCCGAGAAATCGGAGAACCGACGTTTCTGATGCTGTATGTATTTCTGCGTGGTGGAACCGCTGTTGCCCTCCAGAGGCTGAATCTCACACACCCGCTCGCGAGACGGCGTCTTGTACATCTTCAAACGGACCTGGGACGCGCGTACGAGCATTAGAGCACTCCTCGCTTGAACGAAACGTCAAAGAGCTGTCTATTTAATTACACATCAAATAACATCGAATCCTGTCGATGGTAAATGGACTTTATGCGCCTTCTCCTTCTTCGATACGTGAAATGTAAATCTAACAAATCTAATAATTTAAGATTTTTTATTTAATAATTTAATAAATCTAATAATTTTCTTATATTTTTGATCTTCATATTCTCCTCTGTAAAAAACTTCTTCGAACAAGATCAGAGGATTCTAATTATGTCATATTTTCATCTTGGCATCTTACGTTTTACTCTAAAAAAAAAAAAAAAAAAAAAACTAAAATTCATTATTATCATTTTATTTTTATTTATAAAATATGAGATCTCTCTGGAGAACGTAATTCTCGAGAATATCTCGAGGATTGGCAATTGAGCTCGTAATAGCCAGACGACCCTTACATATTTGATCTCGAGGGCAGAAAAGTACGAGGATAGATGATGCAATAAAAATCAATGAGCAACCTAACAAGCCTACGCGATTATCATTAGGCTCGACCTTATCTCTTAATTCCATTAAACCAGCAGGAAAATGTGACCACAATATCCTGATTCGTTACGTTCGTGCTACTTTGTTTAAATTATTTATGCGTCACTAAACTACGCTCTAGGCTGCATTATACTACCTCGAAAGATAACGCTAATTCGGCTTTACAATCTACCTTTCTGGCCTTGATCTCGGCGATGTCGTCCATGATGTCGAGCTGCAGATTGTGAGTGCTCCCGCTGTTGCTGGGCGGCCCGGTCATTCCGGTGGACGAGTCCCGTCGGCTCTGCAATATCCTGGTAGCGCCTCCCATGGGGAACGCGGCGATGGATTCCCGACGATTGCGCCCGAACAGGGTGGTCGGCACCCTGGAAATCGTGACGACGGAATGTCGCCGGCCGCCAGCCTGCGGTGCCGGCGTCTGCGAAAGCGTCGCCAGGAAAGCAGCCTCCCTCGCCGATGGACCGGAACCTTCTCCGCCGCGTTCGCTCAACCGTCGCACCTATTCATCGTGTATAATTTAAGAGAAGCCTAAACGATGTCAAATAACGGCTTATCTTATCCACCCGAGAGAAAAACATCAAACTGACCGGACAACTTTATCAGAGGGAGGTTCAAAAAATTTCAATCACGCGTGGAAAGAATAGTACTGCTGAGTTATTATCTAAAAAAAGTGGCTCGGGTATAGATTTAAAAATAATATTTGCTGATTTATCAAGATAATTATGTAGAACATTCAAATTGATCTAGATTAGAATATACATGAAGACTAGAATACATGATGTATATCAACAATTTTTATTATCATTATGCGTAATTTTATATAATAATCGTAATGATGACCCAATAAAATTATTTTCACATCTATCTGTCTGGCCAACTTACTATATATTTCCAAAAGATCGTGCTACGAAAAATATAGAATGTTATTATAATTATTTAAGTATATCAGCCTTTGCGTAGCAGGCTTTTAACTTTCTAAGTGCGTGGCAACGTTATTAAGATATTAATATCTTGAGAAGAAAACAGAAGTATCAAATAGAAATAAAATTTATATTCGAAGGAGGAAGCCTAAAGCCTTTTTACATAAAAATCCCTTTTTCTCGCTTTCCGAGATGGAATATTGCCACGATTATGTAACAGCCCATCTTGTATCGTAAGCATGAGTAAATGTTGCGGCATAGAATACGTTTGCATACGTCGATAGCGCCGACCGCGAAGGATTTCCCATGCACGGGCACGACACGTACCTGGGATGCGGTTATCCCGGATGTGCACTGCGGAGTCGGCAAGGAGTGCTTCCTGGCGTCCCTCCACGGCGACAGCAAATAGGGATTCAAGGATGGCGAGTCCGGGTCGACGCATCGCGGCGGCGACTCCGCGCGGCAGCGCTCCGCGTCTTCCTCGCCCAGGGTGCTCTCCTCGACGACGATCAGCGGTTCGCCGACGCCATTTCCGCTGCTCGTGCTCGGACAATACGACTGTCTTCTCATCGCGACGTCTCTGATATCTCTGCACACGTAATATACTAGTATTTCCTCGAGATTCCGCATTTCTCTCACCTCTCATTGCCCCAAAATCAGAACCTCGTTTTATTAATTAACCTAGATACCTCGGAGATTTTTCTTTTTATCCTTTTATAATTATTTTTCCAAGGTTTTAAAAAGGTTCCGCAACTTTTCTTAAATGCTTCGAAATGCTATTTTAATATTATTTTTATATAAAAGTATTTTCGACTATTTTAATTATAATGTCTTGAGAATCGTTATTTATAAAGGTTCAACGACGAAAGATTCAACGACGAATGAAAACTGAACATGAGCATGAACACTGGTCACTTTATGTGCCTTTATTTTTCATTACAAATATTTTCCTCGTTTCCCGATTAGACACACGGCATTTAATCCCCATCTGTAAACGGACTCAACACCTTGGTGCACAGCGCTGCTTAAGATTTCGAACAGATACGCGACTCGAGGTGTGTGCGATACCGAGATTCGAGGGATTCTCGGGCAAGACTTTTTATTTTTCGCAGAGACAAGCATTTACCGGGGGTGGCATCGCACGTAGTATATAGTCTTACTATTCGACTCGTGTAATTCCGAGCACGTGCGAACATTTTAATATCCAAGATATACCTTCCCTTTTCGCGTATCTCGTCCGTGTAATGAGAGTAATTTCGGCATTGAATTTCTATAAATATATTTGCGTGAGATGTAAAAGTACAGTCACCGAGACTGTAAGGTCTCCCTCGGCCACCCTCGGCGGAAGGAAAAGAAAAAATAGGTCGAAAATGACAGTAGCGCATTAAACGTATCACATTTGCGTCGTTACGCAAATATTTAGTATTCGCAAAAATCATATTTTTATTTAATAATCTGGGTCAGCTGTTATAGCTCACGCTAATGAAAATTTGCGATCACCTGCGACCATTGCAGCATTACCCTCCATCATCGATTGTTTATTCACAGCTTAACCTCCCTGCCTCCCCTCCTCTCCCGACGCGATGACGTTTCTCGCAAACAAAATGCTGACATTTCGGATGTGCAAAGCGCGCACGTCGCGTTATTAGCACAACAGAATAGAACAACGGAGCTTACACAATGGGAAATTGTTGTTATTCCAATTGACTTTTATATTTCATTCCGATAAATTTCAGCTCTTTGCAATTTTCGCAATACGAGATATTCGCGTTGTTTAATATTACGGCGCACTCTTCCCGACAAAGAATCAAATCTAGCCCGCGAAATTGAAAATTCAAAAAGATCCCCTATTTATAACGGAAACATGCACCGAAAAAGTTCCTTCTTGCTTGATATTCAGTATTTCGTTAGGGACTTTTTTTTCGTTTATATCT